GCACCTATACGCGTGAGTTTGACGTCATCCCGGCTAAAGGAGCTCCTTATTGGCCAAGTATTGCGTAATACACGCGCGTGCGAATAAAACCCGATACTTTGAAAAATTCAAAATAAATATTTCTACTCGCCGTATTCATACGAAACTTTCTACACGAATGCGCTTGAATACAAAGAGTATTTTACTCATATAGCCTTTCAGAAAATGACGAAAGGTTTAGAAAATATTCACCTTTTTCTCTTTTCCCGTATTTAATATTTGGCCAAGCGGTGAAGTATAAATATATGATTGTTTCGGTTTTAGCTAGTATCATTAAACAATACACGGGGAACAAAATAGGATGATTTTTGTTATGCATAGTCTCCTATTTTTTTCAAAAGAAGCAAAAATCTGTGACGTTCTAGAGAGGACGTGAAAATTGTATTTTCGCGTCATGAAATCGTCCTAGACGACGTCGCAAACCAGAAGCTGACGATAGTTGGCGCCAAATGACGACATCCACGTCCTCTTGACGTCCGCGTCTCGGTTATCTAAAACCGTCTATTGTTGGTGACGCACGCCCGCGATAATTGATCAACTTTAGACTTCGCTAATGCTTTCGTTTCCCCGGGTGTAAATAGCCGGGGGGAATTAGTACCCTCGCACGGCGCTTCGCGCCGTCGGCTCGGGGACAAAAATGTCAGTTGTTCTGCGATAGGGGTAGTTTTGTATAGTATTTCTATACATGAAATTGTTATTAAATTCTACATGTCCAATGATTGATTCAAGTATTATTATCGTTTATGTATATATGAATATATGAATATATGGTACTGTACAGTATTCAGTGGCGAGCTAACCTGCAATCAGGCCTATAAATAAATAAATAGGCCTGATACAAACCTTAAAGCTATGGATACAATACTTTTCTGGCGATGGCAATGCAATGGTGGTAAAATCGTTGCATTGCCGTCGCAAGAACTATTGCTTGTGTATCATGCTCTGCGACGGCAACGCAAAGCGGCGCGCAATCGTTGCCGAAATTTCAAATCATTTGATTTTCGGCAATGATTGCCGAAAATTGGGAGGTGTGGTCAAGGAAAGTCAAGGTTGATGAATGACACGTTTCTTGACCAGCCAATGAAAAGCGTTATGAAACATATATTGCAGGTGAAATATTGCAGGTGTAGCCACCTTGCATGTGCGACGGCAACGCAATGTTGTTATCACCCATTGCGTAACCATTGCAGAAAAAATATTGCTCTTGTATCCGAAGCTTAACATGCTTTATAGCCATATTTCGGTTGTATATCTGATTTGTCTATGAGACAAAAGATTTTTTTATCTGTAATTTGATTGGTTGATGCTAATTAGATTATATTATTGTTGATGATATATTTTATAGTGAGCACAACTATAATTAGATTGTTGTCGTCATTGTGTGAAATTTAAATTTCTCCTGCAACATTTTGATTGGATACTAAATATAAACTTTGCTGTAGGTGGAAAGCTATGTTTGTGTCAGGCTATATTTGTAAAATAGAGCCTGATCTCTGTTTAGCGGCGAGCTAGTCATTGCAACTGGTCATGCTATGCCTATGCTGATAAACATGCATCTATTTGAATGAAACAAAGCATTAAAAACTTGCACAGCATGTCCTGTTGCTATGGCTAGCTTCACCACTGACAGCATTATAATTACATACAAAAGCAAGAAGTTATAAGCATTGAAGATATTCATACAAAACCACCCATGCCAATAATTTAGAATTCCTACCCCCTGAACAGGCGCCTTAGGGGCTGTTTACATAATAGAAGGTGGGATGATTTTGTTGTATTGAAATAAGTCACTGGGCTAAACAAAAGTTTAAATGCTGGTTAACAGAACTCAAATGTCTTAGAGAAGATCTTGTGTTCAAGATTATTATTGGTGCTTGAAAAAACCTTTCGTTTACAAAATGTTTAGGAACGAACTTTCCCTAAGCCTCATGTTAATAGTATATTTTGTGTTCAATATATAGATATTTTTTAAATGTGTTTATTACATTAACAAACCACGTTTCATCCTCCTCATCACAGCCCCTCAAGTTATTCAGCAAATTAGCCTTTCTCACGATGACGAATATCCGCCATTTTTGGGTGGCATCCAATTCTCGTTAACCAATGCAGACAATTTAAACAGTGTGAAAAGCAATTTTTCAAAATAAACTAACCATTTACAAAGCAAATTTACCATAATTTGTATAAAAAATTATAAAAAGTCGCTGTTATGTGTACTTATCTCGCAGACTTCGACTGAAATGCCACCCAAAAATGGCGGCGGCCGCCGTGAGAAAGGCTTATTTGTGCATGCTGCCTTTGTCCCTTGGGGGTGAGGCAGCACTTTCCTTGCGATAGTAACTTCTAGTTTATAAATATTGCTGAAGTTGAATAGTTGAAATTCCATTTTCAGTCTTGATAATAAATTTAATAATGGTTCTGTATCCTATAGATACTCATTTTTTTCTTTTATGCGGTTTTGGACACATTTCTAAAAATACAAATGTCAAATATAAATCTTCGCTTGCAACGAAAACTTGTTCGCTAAATACGTTGTTTTCATGCATTGTTTTATAATGTAGATAGAGACCTTGTCTAAAAAAAATAATAGATGTTTTCTTGCAAAACTTTCTTATTTCGTAGAGCTAGTAAATAATCCCTTTGTGAGATTTTTGCAGTATTTAAATAGATATTTTCTCAGCCATTTTAACTTCAATTTTGCGTTTGATAATTATACGCCCCCCCGGTTTACCACCATATTGGGTGTGGCATCGTGCAGAGGCTTCGCCGCACCTCTGTAATCATTGCCAACTAAAGCCTCTGCGGAGGAGAGAGATGTTTAATTTAAACGCGCAAAACCTCTCAAACTCTATCAGGTCACTCGTAAAACCTATAATACGATTAAACGTACTTGTCTTATCTTACTGTTCATAAATCTATTTATAGCTTTGAAATGTTTGCTTCGCGGTCGTGCGATTTTTGTAATCACGCGTTTGATTTCAGTCCAAATTGCGCCCCAGTCAGTTAAATCTGATTGAATGAAATCTGATTGGTTTAAAAGAGGATGCGATTACAGCAGGTGCTAGCAATTTTGTATTCGCACTCCCCAGAGTGCGACTCGCGCTGAAATCGCACTGCTAAAAGTCAATTAGATTGCAGAAAACAGCATAATTGATAATCAAAATTAACGACAACAAATACTGAAATTAAGCAGATGAAATGAAATGAAATGAAGATATATCAAATTTAATCAAACGAAGCGCTAAAAAGTCCCAAATTAAAATAAAAGTAAAACCTCACGAACGCTAAATTAAATAGGATTCTACGAATACCATTCACTGTTCGAACTGACAATTATCTTAATTTTCCCCAATATTAAAATGTATTTCTACGTAAATTTTTAAAATAATCAACCCCAAATTCATTATGCCTACATTACAAAATCCGAATCATTGTCACTAGTCGTGAGCTACAAAAAGGAACAAAAACTATTCACTACTGTATAAGGATGACAAATGTCCGTGTCCATTGATCGTGCTTATCGTATCATTAACAGTTCTGCCACCTTTGAACAAGGTAATAGCCGTGTGAGGAGTGATGACAACATTTTTGCTTGCTTGTCTTGTAATTCTGGTATCCACAGCAGTAGGAACCTCCCGATTTCAACAACAGGTTGTAGCCGCAGCAAACATGAGTAGAGGAATTGTAGTTGACCGTTCCACAACAAGAAGTGCCTTTTGATCTTGAACGTATATTACCGTTGCAGCATATGTGAACACTCACGTGATAGATATTTGCGCCACAGCAGCGAGTGTAGGATGAATACGATTTTGATGTGACGTTATTGTTGCAACATTGATCACCAGACGAATTTGCCAAGATATTGCCGTTACAACAAACTGCTGTTAATGGATTATAGTTTTGTGTTCCGCAGCACGCAGTACCAGAGCTTCTTCTGAGCACTTTATAGCTGCAACAGACTTGTGTGCCTGGATCGTAGTGTGTGTTTCCACAACAACTGAAATGGGAAGCGGATATGATCTTGTTGCCGCAACATTTGTAGTTCAGTGGATCATAAACTTCAGATGCACAGCATTGAAAGTTAGGAGGAATATTAGTGTGAACCTTTCCATTGCAACAAACAGCCCTGTATGGATCATAGTTGACAGCACCGCAACAAGACAAACCATTGGTTATATCAAGGATGCTGCCTTGACAACAGATATGCTGAGTTGAGTCGTAATTTCGGTCACCACAACAGCTCGTACCATGCTTAATGGCATGTACATTCCGTACACAGCAGATTTGGGTCTTGGCATCGTAGGGATTACTAGAACCACAAGAAGCTGCAACGAATAAGGATCAAGATTGTCAGGAAGATAAAAGTAAGAAGGATAACGATGGTTGAGGAATAAATTATTAAAATAGGGACAGGTATGAGAATAAGGAAATATGGATTAAATATAATTTTGTTTGAATAAGGTCGCATGATAAATAGATGACTACATGGATGACTACATGACTATATGATAGTTTCTGTTGTGAGGTCACACGTTTGTTGTGGCTATATCTAATAAAGACTTTTTATTTTTTTATGCACAGTTTTAGGTGAGATTGCACATTTTCAATTTTTCTCTTTTTAAATATGTCAACCTTTTGTTTTACTTTTTGTTTTCAAATATCAAGATGAAAAAATAAATGTTTAACTTTTAAGTCATGAAAGTTACTATTTTGTTATGAAAGTTACTTTTATATTTGAAAAATACATGTAAAGAAATATAAAGGCAAATCGTCCCCATTTCCTGGGCTCCCCTCTCAGCGGCTGTGTCATGACACAGCAATACAATTCTGCCTATTAAGGCTAAGCCTTACATCTAAGATAGTAAAAGGCATGAGACAATTTTGATGATAAATTAAAATGGACTTTGTCCTTAAGTATAAACACAGTTAATAGAACTATAAGTTCTGTTAACTTTGGTATAAGTATACTTCATTATATCCACTAGCATAAAATGACTAAAATACCAATAACTCGTGCTCCTAGCATAAATTAGGTGTGATTCTATGCTCTTAACCCACTATAGTATCACTGCCCTAATTGTTAGCAACTTGATCGAATAGCATGATATTGAGACATGGTTTGCTTAAAATCAATACTCAATAGTCAATTTGCACTCCTGAGTCCTGAACAGTGTAGTGCTTAGTCGTAAGTCGATTTGTTGAAGGTTACATTACAGCCTGAGTTAGTAGATGCTCCAAATACAATAAAACTAAAAAATATAGCGTAGCGAAATAGCGAAATAAAGCCAGTAAAGGTCTTAGAAATTACACCTATACTTATTCCACGTATTCAAGACCATCAAGAGTAGGTCATCCCGCATTTTAATTAAACACTATGCACATCAAGATCGACATTAGTGTAGGAATCAGACAACCAAGTTTCCGAAATACCAACAACAGAGAATTTACAATCTATGCTAGCCAAGAGGTTTTTTTAGCTCATCAGTATGAGCGGGAATACTACGGATATTTAAATGTAAAAGTGATAAATCGGTTGAATTAACATGAGGTATTTTGATTAATTTATCATTCAAAGTACACTCGCTATAGAAATCGCAACTATAAAGACTTCTAATTATGGCTACTATAAAGACTGCTAACTATGTCTACTATTGAATACCTTTTAGCTAGATATTCAATTAATATAGTAGACATAGGTAGCAATCTTTATAGTAGCCAAAGAGTTAAGTCTAACATACAGTAACTGGCTGGGGACTGGCCGGGCAGAAAAAAGCAAGAACATCATGTAACATCAATAATCGGGTGAAGCTCGGCAGCAGTTAGGTTCAGGCCCTCTTTACAGGTTAGAGAAAAAAATTTATATATTTGAATAATACCCTGTCAAACCTAGCTGGATATTTTTCAA